ACAGCATGTAGCAACCTGTTAAGCAACTGCAGCAAACGAGACCTGCCCTCCTCCATTTCTGCCTCAAATGGCCTGATGATACCTGCTTCCCAAGATTTTTGATGCTGCCCATATATCTCTTCCTTGAGAAACTTCAGCATTGGTTGGAGATACGACAGCTGGCTGTTAGGAGTGTTGGGAGTCGGAGTACCCGTCAACAACCAGCGACTAGTGGCAGTAAACGACACAGCCATTTGCAATTTGTTTGTCAAATTGAGACTTGAGCCAAGAGTGTGCCCCTCGTCCAACATGACTCTAAGCCAGTGGACCTGCATTAGGACACTTTTTTTACGGGGACTCCACTCAGCACTCAATCGACTGAAGGTAGTAATTACGACATCGTAATTCCAAGCCAAATTGTGGACAGAAGGTTTATTCTTTTGATCACCCCATATATGGACTCTCAACTGACCTGGCCTGACATGCCTCTCAATCTGAGTTCTCCAATGCTCAACTAGATTTGAGGGTACAATAATCAAAGTTGCACTTGATAGATACAACCTAACTGAATCTAGTGGCTCGCACAGAGCAACCCGAAGTGAATCCAAATCAAAAGAAAGGTCCCTAAGACCTTTTGGATAGTACCACCTCAAAGAACCCTGTTCAACTCTTTTTACAAGGCCAAATGCTCGAAATATTTTGTGATAGTCGCGAGAAACCCTTGTATCAAACAGAGACGTGCCCACAGTTGGGCTCACTATCCCACTTGTTTCCATTTCAGCAAGATTATCTGGTGAAAGTTTAGCTAGCCAAGTCAATGCTTTCCTTGTCTCAGAATTGATCAAGGTGTGGTGTTCCTTTAACACACCAGTAAAAAATGATATATTTTCTTCCTGGCCACCAGAGGATCCTTTGGCACAAAATCCAGGTAGGTATGTAATAAATCCTTTACAATCCCAGGATTCTTCAGGAACATCACAACTTTGGTATGATGGGTCACTATTCATGCTACAAAACCACACTGTGGAAGCATTGGCGACAAGTGCATTTGCGAGCTTCCGCCACTTGCTACAAGCATCACACTGAACCCAAGTTTCGTTACACTCTGCATCATATGTCACCATCTCCTGATCCTGTTTTCTACTGAATGATACACCACGTGATGAAGCAACTTGGTCGCCCAAAAATCTCTTTTTTCGGCCTTTATTGGCCAGCTTCCCTTTTTCAGAGCATTTCTCAGAAGTGAAAGCCGGGTCCAAAAGATTTCTTTTAGCACTAGTCAAGCCCCTGCTACCCTTCACAGTGACACTTGTTGTTGAGCTTGTAGGTGTGTGCATTTTCATTCCTTTACCGGAACGTAAAACAATGGATTCCAGCTTTTGCTCCGCGTCTGGGGTGAGTTCATCTAAAGATAATCTTCCCCTGCGAGCTTTTTTCACCACAGGTGTGTCATTATTTGAAAAATTAATCCCGGTTATATTGTCTGCACTGATTTCATAATAGCCACACCTACGATTCCCATCATGCATACACCAGATCGCCTGTACTGTATCGGGGGGTTCTGCCATAGTTCCTTGTGTCTTCAGAACAAGTGATAGGGCAGTAATAGTCTTGCCTAATCCAGGTTCATCACAGAACATTCCCCCACGGAAGTCCCTAACGGTAGAAGCTACACCAGGGGAAATTTCACCAGAAACCATATTCATATTAAATTCAAACCCATCATTGGTTACGAAATCCATATACAGAGGATGTTTGAAGATTTGAGGATCCCTTTCACGCTGTAACATCCACTCAACTGCAGCCTGCTGATGAGGATACAGCTTAAGTTTCATACATGGCATGATTGATGCTGCCAAGTACCTTAGATGATGGCATGTTAAAGATATCTTAACAAGATCGACAGGGCTTAGCGTATTCAAAATATTAATCAAAAGATCATCTGACAGCACCCAGATACCAGACTCGTCGGATAATTCTGCAGGTTTTACTCCTGTTCCTCCATCACAATCTGCTTTCTTTGTCACGCAGGGTAAACTCTCAAAAATTTCCTGGATTTCGAAAAGCTTTTTTTTCTTCAAATTGTCGGGTGCACTACAATGCAGCATACAGCCAAGGACATGACAATCTGGCACATTCCAAATGGCACCACTATCCACTCTTTGAGATGTCAGCATCAAGCTTCTAGCTTCCCAGTCACAGCTGTGAACAACATGTAACCACATCAGCATCAATTGCAAGAGCATTTATATATCAAAAAGAAAACGACAAATAATTATTCAACAGCAGGTTTGAAAATCACATCACTGCAAAATTAAAAACTTGCATATCCATCAACAGAGTTTGCAGACAAAGGGTCGGTCATCTGAATCTTCCACGCAACACGAACACAGCATAAAACATGCTATTATGAAACAAACACGAAGAATCAAAAGCTAGAAGACAAACCTCAAGTGTTTGAAAATGGCCACGGCCGTGGAACACGAACGCGGGAACTGCCACCCAGACGACCACAACCCAATGGGCAGGTACACATCCACCAACACCACGCCCCTAATTTCCCCACTCTCCGCCTGAGAGGCATTCACGACTCGGCCCACAACTCTCAAGCACTTGTGAGCCACGAGGGCACCCAGTTGGTGGACCACGCTAATGGACCCGTGGACCATCCCAAATCTGCTCCACCTCTTCTTCGAGGATGGCGGCGTTGCTGCTTTGGAGATGGGGTTCAAGCGGCCGCCGTCCTGGGCCACCAAGTGTGCGTTTGGAGGGACGCCGGCGAGGTGGCAAACCGAGCCGGGAGGAACATGGGCGTCGGGAGGGAATGCAACGACAGCACAGAGGTAACCGCACAGCTTGTGCCGGCCGTCGTCTTCCATAATAATTTTGAAATTTTCTGATCAAGATTCAATAAAGGTAAAGGAATTGGTTTAAGATCAAGAATTTGAACCAATTCGTATCAACTTCACGAGATTCACACGCAATTCAATTACAAAGAAGGACCCAATTTCCAAAAATTTCGAGCGCGATCGAAATCAAAATATGATAGGACGGGTCTTTTAATTTTAACAGAAAAAAAGAGAGAATTCGAGTTTGTTTTGTACAACGTTGGGAAGAACTTAGGAGTCTGTTGTTCAATTGTTACTCCGAAATCTGAAGGACATCAAAATAGTTACATATATTTTGTGCACGCTTGGATTTTGAGCGCAATCGATGACCCGTATGTATGACCTAGTTATAATTTTTTATTATGAATATAATAATATTATATATATGGGCTATGGGCTAATTGTATGCAAATGGGCCTGAAAGTATATGTCAGATAAATTATTAAATTTGCAATCACATTTAATTTGCCCAAAAAATATCTTAAAAACGTTAATTTGATATTAGATATATTTGTAATAATTTGTGGTTAATTTAGTTATTTTATAAATAAAGTTAAATTGGGTGTATAAGTGTAATATAAATCATATATGATGGTAAAGGGTATAAATTCCTCTATTGGGATTACTAATCTTTCTAGACGTCATATACACTCGACAAGAATTTATATCTATGTCAAAAATTATTGAAACAAAAACATATGAAATGTGTGTGTGTGTATATTAGTACAATTCCCGTAAAATATTGTGGATTGCTATTTACCGCCCCCTTTTACTAGTCACCGCCCCCCTCCAATTACGTTTTTGCCCTTTACTATCTCTCTCT